CTGGATCCTCATGACTGTGGTGGACGAAGAGACAGAGAAGAACTGAATCCTCCTGCGGCACTCCACGCTCTTTTATATGACCTGGCCCGCCCTTGTCCGCCTCGTGGCACCCGGTCTGTGTCAAGTGCAGCGGTGACAGGTGGGGCAGACTAGGCCCGATTTTTTTCTTCTTTTTTTCTTCGTCTTTTTTGTAGATGGTTTCTCTCCTTTTCTATTGGAGATCGTTGAGATGACAGAACCTCATTGATATCAAATATGGGACATTTGGAAATAATGTTTCCACATGACATTTGCAATCTATACAGTTGAAAGGCTGGCCGTTGGCAACGCGAGTGGGCCGGCCCGGAGTGCCTCCCGACCGGACGGGGGCGGGGAAGGCGAGGGGGAGGGGCGAAGGGCGGCGGGGTCAGGAAGGGGCGGGCCGGGACACTAAGGGTGAAAGGCTCCCGGACTCTCATAAACGAACGTCTTTCGGACACATAAAACTCCGGATCAAGGGGAGGCCTTTAAGGAAAATCTTTAAGACGAACGGAGGGCAGCAGCTTCTCCGACGTCTGAAAAATTGCTCCGCGTGGATAAATTTCTTCTGGGAAATCTCGGATTCAAGGCCGGCAGTCAAGAACGAATGTCACCGTGGACCAGCGACGTAGCAGTTGACCTTCCCGAACTTTCAGGTCAGGTCGAGATAAGGATGGCTAGTTCCTGGATCAAATAATTTACACTTCATCCCCGCAGCTCGCCTCAGCGCCCTTCGTCCCAGACACGCAATCTAGGACATTCTACCAATTAAATTTTATGGAGTTATATTTCAGCGAGACAGATACGCGACCAATGGAAGCCAAAGGTCAAGCTCTTAAAAGCACATGAACTTAGATCCCCATGTGGCAAGAGCGAGCTGGAGTGCTTGTCAGGAGCAGAACTATTAGAAGGTATTCAAAATTCCTCCACAATTATTTATTCTCATTGTCTTCGGGACCACCAATGCTCCATGCACTTTGCGACATCAGTGCTTTAGTTGATGGCATACCGATGGCCGAGGCGCTAGTAATGATTTGCGGATGCAGATGAGACACGGGAGCAGAGAGGAGAGAAAGAAGGGAAGGGGAGAAGGCAAGAACGAAAGAGAAAGGGGGAGGGAACAAGAAAAGAAAGAGGGGGTGCATGGAGACAACAAGAAATACTAAAGGACAGATGGTTCGGTGAAGAGAAAGCAAAATATAATGAGAAAGACACAGCGGGAGAGAAAGGGAAGGATACAGAGGTAAATATATATACTGAAAGATAAATAAATAGACAAAGAAAAAAGAAAGAGAGAGAGTGACGGGGGGTAGAAATGGGCAGATAGGAGGGAGAGGAGTCAATAATAAATAAATATATATATATATACATATATATATATATATATATATATATATATATATATATATATATTATATATATAAATGTAATATATGTAGAGAGAGAGAAAAAATATATATATATGTGTGGAGAGAAGAAGTGTGCAAGAAGAGAGAGAGAGAAGGAAGGAAGGAGAGGGTGCAGAGTCAGAGAAATAAAAATGCATATATAGAGAAAACATGGAAAGAGAGAGAGAGAGGGAGAGGGAAATATAGGCAGACAGAGAGACAGAGCGAGGTAAAAAAAGAGAGAGAGAAAAAAAAAAGGAGAGAGAGAAATACATATGAATACACGAACATACGTACACACACACACATGCACACACACATATCTATTACATATGCGTATATTTATATTATATAGATAATATACATACAATACATATATATATAAGTACTATATATATNTCTCGACGGCATCTCCTCCGCCAGAGGATGCGTGTTTGTTGATCTGCGGAAATGAAGATCTTTGTTGGTAACCATATAAAATGACTTCAAATGAGACTTTCAGGTAAGATATCTGAGGAACATTAAGTGCCAATAATTTCATGTAATACATTTTAGACATTTACACAAATCTGTATAGCTATCTATCTGCAATTATAATTTCTGTGTCAATGTTAAATCTAGAAGAATAACTGCTGAAAGCGACACCCTCAGCCAGGGGCGTGGAAACTCAGCCCGTGAACGCCTGTTGTTCAAAATCAACACAGCAATCCAGCCCAAGAACCCTAGCCTTGGCACTCTCCCCAACCGTGCAATGCCATCTTGCCACCATCCTGCCAAGCACCAACGTCTGCTAGGGTTTGGCACTGGCAGTAGGTTTACACGGTCGATAGGAAAAGACCTCCACAGCACTGACAAGGCAGCGAGCCTCTGCTCTCGCAGCCAGATGGTGTTGATGCATGGTAGAAAACCCACCATGCACAAGACTGATTGAAATAAATGAGACAGCAGTTTCGGAATCCTCCTGAATCCATCGGTTGTCCCATTTATTTCAATATATCTAGTTTGTGCATTGTGGGTTTTTCAGCCATAAACATATATATACATGCATACATATATTGTGCTTGAAAAGACAGAGATATAAAAAGAGATATGCTCACACATGCATACATATGTACAGTTGGCCACCAAAGTTCTGTCATAGTAATAGTACAGTAATAGTATCGATGTGGGGTTTTATCTGGTAACTGTAGTGAACAATATATATAAAGCCTCCTTGGTAGTGGACGAAAAGCATATATATAATATATATATATATATATATATATATATATATATATATATATATATATATATATATATATATATATATATATATATATATATATATATATATATATATATATATATATATATATATATAATATATATATATATATATATATATATATATATATATATATATATATATATATATATATATATATATATATATATATATATATATATATATATATATATATATATATATATATATATATATATATATATATATATATATATATATATATATATATATATAATATATATATATATATATATATATATATATATATATATATATATATATATATATATATATATATATATATTATATATATAATATATATATATATATATATATATATATATATATATATATATATATATATATATATATATATATATATATATATATATATATATATATATATATATATATATATATATATATATATATATATATATATATATATATATATATATATATATATATATATTATATATATTATATATATATATATATATATATATTATATATATATATATATATATATATATATATATATATATATATATATATATATATATATATATATATATATATATATATATATATATATATATATATATATATATATATATATATATATATATATATATATATATATATATATATATATATATATATATATATATATATATATATATATATATATATATATATATATATATATATATATATATATATATATATATATATATATATATATATATATATATATATATATATATATATATATATATATATATATATATATATATATATATATATATATATATATATATATATATATATATATATATATATATATACATATATATATTATATATATATATATATATATATATATATGATAATATCATGCTATAATATAACTAGATATGCGAGTTCGCATAATCAGTGTGCATGTAGACGAGGCACGATTATCATTCGAATTGTCTACATTGTGAGGGAAATGGCATAAACTGGTACCATTAATACAGCTATTATTTATAACGAGATTCCTACCAGGAGCAGTAATTCTCACATTTAATTTAGATTCGGGTCTCAGTGAAATACGTATCCGTAGAACACTTTGACCCTCAATCTACTAAATTTGGCCTAATAAAGGAATAATGAAAAAATAAAATTTTACCCACCAATATTTTACCGCTTCTGGAAATTTATGCACGAAACTAATCCATAGAATGACATTTTGGAAAGATCACGGAAAGGAAGGAGGAGGTTCCCGATGGCCCCTTAGAGCAAATTTTTGGCACCGAGTTCCATGAAAATTCCTTTCAACATCCCGATTCTGTCTGCCGTAGTAGAGGTAAATCATAGTGTATGTAAATCAAACTTTAACTCTCAAGCGACGCTTTCGTGACAGATATCATCACGAAGGTAAACACGCCCTTCTCTTTTGGATTCCTCCCTCTTTCCCCCTCCCTCTCTTTTTTTTTTCCCTCTCTTTAGAAACCAATTTCTCTCTCTCTCTCTCTCATCTTTTTTTTTTTTTTTTTTTTTTTTTTTTTTACTTTTTATACTCTAAACTTGCAATACTGTTGCTATGACTGTTCCGCTCACTGAATTGCCACGGTGTGCCACATCAATGCGAAGGGGCCAACGACCCGCCGGGGAAGGACAGACATTCGGCGCCATCTGCAGCGTGACCCGAGACGGGGGCGTCCTCGGCTAACTGTTAGGTCACAGCGCCATCTGCGACGGCCCTCGTCGCGGCTCACGCGACCAATGATTGCCATCTGCAGCGTGACCGAGACGGGGGCGTCCTCGGCTAACTGTTAGGTCACAGCGCCATCTGCGACGGCCCTCGTCGCGCCTCACGCGACAATGATTGCCATCTGCAGCGTGACCGAGACGGGGGCGTCCTCGGCTAACTGTTAGGTCACAGCGCCATCTGCGACGGCCCTCGTCGCGCCTCACGCCACAATGATTGGCATCTGCAGCGTGACCGAGACGGGGGCGTCCTCGGCTAACTGTTAGGTCACAGCGCCATCTGCGACGGCCCTCGTCGCGCCTCACGCGACCAATGATTGCCATCTGCAGCGTGACCGAGACGGGGGCGTCCTCGGCTAACTGTTAGGTCACAGCGCCATCTGCGACGGCCCTCGTCGCGCCTCACGCCAGCAATGATTGCCATCTGCAGCGTGACCGAGACGGGGGCGTCCTCGGCTAACTGTTAGGTCACAGCGCCATCTGCGACGGCCCTCGTCGCGCCTCACGCCAGCAATGATTGCCATCTGCAGCGTGACCGAGACGGGGGCGTCCTCGGCTAACTGTTAGGTCACAGCGCCATCTGCGACGGCCCTCGTCGCGCCTCACGCCAGCAATGATTGGCA